AGTGAAGGTCTCTTTCAGAGCGCAAGGGTTTGTTTGTTTGTGTGTGTGATAAACATATTGGTTTATTCTTACAAAATACTAGTAGTCTCCATCGAGGAGCGAGTGGAAAAGAACAACAAAACAAAGAACAGCACAACGGAATCAGCATGCTCAATGTGTAGTCATGCGTGCATGCCAAATACCGGTGCATGGCGTAAGCTGATGTAAGCTGCGTACAATAAGACAGATGCACGCGGGTGGGTGCATATAGGATAGCGTACATAATAATACAACGAGTGTTCGCCTTCATTTTACTTCGCACATTAAACGGGACCCGGGCGCATATGGCGAATATGGAATGAAAGAAAAGGAGGAAAGGAAATAAATGACAGGAAGACAGAAGAAGGGTGATGCTGAAGTTGAGGTTGCGAGCGCTTCAAAAGCACATGTGACACGGTATCCATCAGTAGTTCAGCAATCTCTGCTCCTATTCTCCCCCATGCGCTCTGAGTTGACACGTGGCTACCCACAGTAGCCATTGCGCACACCAACAATTTGAAACAACGAAGGGGTTACGGGTATGTCAAGTATTGTTACTGGTAATATTCCTCTGCCAGCTTTATTGACATAGCATCAGAAGTGGTAAAAAGATATGCAAGGCTTAATCTCACCTGCGCAGATAACACGGTGGTGTGAAGATCGTGTATTAAGCAAGTTCCATTGGCCGGACAAGTAGTAACTAGTAAAAATGTCACCGGAGGTGGCGTCCGTGGTGTGTATGAAAACACCGGTCGATGTGGTGGAGGGCCGGCTGGAAAGTGCAAACTTGTATTTCTGCACCATGAGGTAGAGGCAAACAGCCACAACATGGTTTCCAGATAGCATTCTCGTCGTGGGCAATTCCATTCCGGACGCCCGGCACATGTTCTGGGCGTCCGATAACGTCACCGGCTCAAAGAAATATCCCGGTGGAATGCGTAACGTAGTGTTCACACAATGCGCTTGATCGTGGAATGAACCTGTAGCGTAACAGGAGAAGCAGGGCACACAGGTCAGGGCATACAAGCGCCACAGCTTCCAAACTTTCCAAGGATTTCTCTTTTAAATAATCTCAGCTGAGAGGTTGAGTTGATAGTGTTCCTCTCGTCAGGGGCTTTCCAAGATGCCCAAGATGATCATTCGGAAAGCTGTCCCAGGGAAAACAAAGTCACGTCTGATTTAAGGTAAAGAATTTGAGGGCACAATGCTCCACGGACATTAAGCTCTGTCGTAAAGTGTTAACCCATTCAGCGCTACTGGGCCTTGCCTATGGTACTCTGCATATAAATTCTAAAAACAGTGCCAATAGCAAGTTCTAAAACTCCAGGGTTCTGGCAACTGGGGTCCTCAAATATTTTGGAAATGATTGCCAAAACTATCAACTACAGGGTGACAGAATCGATACAGTCCCCAAAAAGAGTAGCGCATCACAACAGGGGACGCAAGTTTGCTCAAATTGCGTGAAATACGCCAAATGCGTGAAATTGTAGCTGAAACATCGCTGAAAAGAGAAGAAAAAAAGACGCGTTGTGTTTCCAAGCGGGATTCATACCAACAACCTATCGTACAAGAGGCAGGATCATGATCCAGCTGACTAACAGTGCTTTTACATACCAGAGTGTGCCAGAAATCGCTATATATCCCATGACGTCTATAGACGTCATCCGCGCATGGGGGGCATTTTCAATGACGTCTATAGACGTCATCAGCGTTCAATGGGTTAAGGGTCTTTAAGGCTGAAGTGTTTCTACATGGAGATGACGTTTGTCTGCAGCAACAGACTGTATAATATTATGGGCTGCGTGCATGATCATGCAACATGTCTATGTTTGGAGTTAAAAGGTGTGTGTATTCCATCGATCGATTTTCCTATTCCAATCATTAGTGGCAATGAATGAATCTACAATGTAAGGTACCAGAGACACCAGATTTTGCCATGGTTCTCAATGGTACTGTGATCGTATATGTTGCCGAGTGTCGTACGGTATTTGATGATTCCTGGTTTAGTGTTATCCGTTGCGCACATTTCTTTTTGCTTAGAAAAGCATTTGCAAGTTTGGGAGCTATCTACATTGATGCATGTGGCCATCTTCTATGCAAACAGAAAGAAAATGTTGTAGCATTCACATTCTTCAAATAATACACTGCACGCATCATCATTTTCACACACGCAGCCCCCTTACACGCTTTCGCATTATCCATTCATTTGCCACTAGCTTCCTCCCAGTCACATCCGAAACACACGCCAATGGTGCCATATTTTTTGCTGTGTTGGGGTAAAACTAATCTGACTGCATAATTGCTTGTTTTAACAAAAGCGGGTGGTGATCCATTGCATAAAAGTGCTCTATCGATAGAGCTATTACTACCAAATCAGTTCAACCACAAAACTACCAAGACCTCATTTGCAGCTCGGAGTTTCATGCATTACGCCATCATCAGGCAGAATTCCACAGCGGGCCTACAGCACAGCATATGTTATGTTACCTTTATTTTACTTCACCATAGGTACAGGCATTGCTGCCTTCTTGCTGTAGATCATAAAATAATGATGCCACAGCTCCTAGGCTATGATGAATATATCGGGCTTTTAAAATACAGGTGCCCCTGTGGAAGGTGTGGGTCCTATCAGGACCTATTTTTACAGTGGCAGACCAGAATGATAATGTGTGACTGTAGACTGCTGGTCTACTGTGCACTGGATGAGTGTAGTAGAGCAAAGAATGCAGGTCTCAGGGGCTAATTGTTTGTTTTAGACACTGCACACTACGCAACGAGTTTCGACTGAAGATGTCATGAGAAAACATTCTGAATGCTATTATTGCTGTTATTGTTGTAAGGAGTGCACAGTTGATCTAATGCATTGCCGTAAATGCCTCAGCCTTGTTTTAATAGGCTGCGCCTCGATTCTTATCGAGGTTTTTCTCTCTATCCCACTCAGCACTGTATCCTACACATGATGTCAACAATACACCGTACTCTCTCAAATAGTGCCCCATCTGTGGTGAACATTACAAAATAGTACCCCAGGGGTAAGACATTGCAATTAACAGAACTAGCTGAAGCGTCATTTCACGAACGTTACATTGAGGTGGCACGAAGAAATTCAAGAGCCACGGACAAAATTCTTCGTGCACTGACGTTTCAGCTGTTATCAGTTTACTGCAATCCCTTAACTCTTGTCACCTCGTCACCTTTTCGTGTTTTTATATTTCCGGATAAAACAAGTAGTACAGGTATACGCATGCCGTATTTTCCTGATTTATTACAAGAGTAGTCGCACTCGAAGTCGCACGCCACTTTCAGGCCTGAGCCAAATTGTTACAATAATAACTTGATAATTTTCCACCTTGTCACAAGTGTTGTTATCTAATTATCTTTAGGCTATATAAGTTTTGGTCTTTCCAACTGGAGCCATTCCCTGTTGTTGTGAACCCTCTGGTTCTCTAAAGTGTCAGGAACGAACGACCCCTCACGGCACGAGGAAAACTATAAATTCTCAACAGTATATTTCACTTCCATCGACTAATAATAATGAACAATGAATGAATGAATGAATGAACAATGAATGAATAACACTAAAACCACCAGGTAGGTATAGAGGGAAATGACAGCGTACATGTATATGAGAAAAGCATACACATGCAACATACAACTTAACTACAGCGCACACAGCAAACTGCAGATAGGGCATGTAGTGTATGCCACGTAAACATCAGCAGTACGGCGGAGTCGAGATACAACTGCATTGAAACGAACACAATGTCACAAGCGAGAAGGCCTTTCACTCTCGAGAACTTGTGGTTTCACAACACCTGTATAATCCTTGATGAGAAGGGACCGAAAACGTTCGGATCCTTATGACAAGTGCCTTATTGTGACTGGATGTGTGTTTGCGTGGATACTTGCGACCCATAACTTACCTTCGTTTTAAAATAATAATAATAATAATAATAATAATTTTACAAGAAGTCGGAGGCGGATAATACTTTAATAACGAAGGTACGTGCTCACTATGTTCTTGTCGCTATTATTATGTCCTTCGAGTTTTGTGTCGTGCTGAACTTGATACTTTTTTTCACCTTGTCACGAGTGTTCTTATCTCATATCTTTACGCTATATAAGTTTTAGTCTTTCCAACTTGAGCCATTCCCTGTATAATCCTTGATGAGAAGGGACCGAAAACGTTCGGATACTTTGACAAGTGCCTTATTTTGACTGGATGTGTGTTTGCGTGGATACTTACGACCTAACACGTACCTTCGTTATTAAAATTATAATAATAATAATAATAGTTACAGTTCGCATGTCACTCATGGAAGGATCGCATCTGTCAATGAAATCCAGGCAGAAGAGCCAACAAAAGGCATCTCAATACTCAATACTCGGTTAGAGCTAATTATGTTACAATAATATGCACACAAGTAGAAAGTCATGCTCAACTGTAAGTTCCCTGCACTTGACAGCTAGTGTGAAAAGTTAGACTAATATTCAGAGAAAATAACGGTACTGTGAAACCGGAAATTTTCGGTGGTGTAATTTTAATGGCATTTCCCAAAATCAACGGTTCGGTGGCGACACATTTTCGGCAAATCAGTTTTCCAGATACAGTAAAACCTGGTTTAAGCGACCACCCCACGGTGCAAGCAAAAGCGGTCGTTAAAGCCAGGTGGTCTTTAGAACCAGGTCCCACAGTGTCTGTGTAGAACTGTGGGTGCATGGAGAAACGGTCGTTAAGAGCAGGTGGTCGCTAAACACAGATGCTGTATAATTATGAATGTGACGCCGTCCATGCCTGGCAAAGTGCCCTGTAGTACCAGGCTGGTCGCTAACCAGGGTGGTCTTTAGTTACAGGTTTTGCTGTATGCCTGAAAGAACAAGAACATGTAACAACACCAGTATGATAACACAAGCGATGATAAGATATTAAATTTTAATATGCTCTGGCAAAATGTCATCGAGGCAGGGAAGCACTAAACCTTACGTTGGCACGACCCGTTGTCAGCTCTATAGTAGGGCAAAGTACATTCACACGACCCGTCCTTGGAGCAGTGTTCATTCTGGCCACAACCAGATGCGCATCCAGTATATCCTGCAACAGGAGAGCAGAGAGAGAGAGAGAGAGAGAGCAGCAGAGTTTATTTCGACCCGCGCCTTAAAGTGCCGCGAGAGCGCCCCACCATGTCGTCGTTTTGTGTCCGTTGTGTCCTGCCTATAGCGGTTGAATGCGGATGATTTAATGGCGGATTTTTTATTGCGGGCCAAGTGAATTTCTACTGGGTGCAAAATATACAATGTGAGTAGGTAGTGCCAGTGGAAGGGGGGGGGGGGGAGGGAGAGGGGGGGGGGGGGGTGCAGTGATGTGCAGCGAGTCCGTCTTGACTTTGCCACAGCAAGTTAACTGATGGTGCAATTGCATACCGTCTATTGGTCAAAGAACACATACCTTGCTATACACATGCACGCGCACACATGCACACAAACACACACACACACACACACGCACGCACACACACACACACACACACACACACACACACACACACACACACCCGCGCACACACACACACACCACACACATGCACACACACACACACATACACACACACACACATACACACACACACACACACACATACATCCGCGCACCCCCCCCCCCCCCCACACACCCACACGCACGCACACACACACACACACACACACACACACATACACACACACACACACACACACACACACACACACGCACACACACACACACGCACACAAACACACACACACAAATACACACACACACATACACACACTCATACACACACACACACACACATACACACACACACACACACACACACACACACCCGGTGTGACCTTAAAACACTAGGGTTCTCACATCGCACAAAACACAGTTAGTTGAGCTCAGCCATACCGCTTTCCATCCCCTGAGTGTAAAACCAAGGTGGGAGACTCTAGCCAGACGGGACACTGTCGTCGACGTACTTTATTATGTTTTTGAACGATACTGGTCCCTTATAATCCGGCACCATTTGTGCTTCAGAAATTGAGCTGGATTAGCGAGTGTGCAGGATAAACAAATCTGATTTACTGCTGCAATTTGCATGAAGAAGCCATTTTTGGGCGAATATATTTTGCCATTATTTGGCTACTGAAAATTGTGCTGGTTCATAGAGGGTGCTGCCGGTTTGTAAAGTGATGGATTAAAGAAGGACGACTGTATTGGTACAGTTCTACAGCTGTGCAGGCAAGAGTGGACCGGTTATGGCTGTGATTAGCTTGTTGCAATGCAAATGTCCTGGATGATACCATGCAGGGCAAGGATCATATTCATACTACTCTCTGTGTGGTATTTGTACTTTGGAGGTCATTATATTATTGACTTGACACGCACGGTACGCAGCACGTCTGTGTACCTGGGTTTCACACTAGACCTGGGTGGCAAACAGACTCATGGGAGGAGGGGGGGGGGGTAAATCGCAGCTGCTCTCTGTTTTTCACGAACGCCCAGGGGAAAGTCATAACATCCCAGCGGAACAGAATCCAACACACATATGATGCTAAGTGTCTGTTCTCTCGTTGACTGTCAACGTGAGGATGGTGTTGATATTGTATTTGTTAAATCGTTGCTGACATCTTTGTTCGGTCTGTGTATATTTACACTATATTATACAGTAGGAGTAATAGCATTTTCATTTTACCCAAAACCACCAAATGACGCTTGCAGAAGACAAAGACAGTTCACCAACCGGGCTCCATAAATTTTGTTTTACTCCTGTCAAGTCTCGCTTTGTTCCAAAGGATGACAGGAACTACTTGCAATTGTGGAGTGTTTCTGGTGAACTGTTTCGCTGCTGAAATCTTCAAGTGTTGTGTGATCTTGTAGGGTCAAGTGCAAACATCTAATATCACTGTTGTATTTTGTTGTATGCGATGTTGTGTGATCCGGGAAACATGATCTTTTCCTAACACATGGCTACCAAATGTTTGCCTACTCATAGATCTGCAGTGTGAGAACTTTGTGCCATCGGCAACCCCATACATGCCCTTTCACCTATTTTGACGATAATATAGTCAGACCTCGCATAAACGCAAATATCCGTTTTCCACAAAAAAATATCCGGATAGGCGATGGAACCGGGTAATCGAACACACGTGATGTATGTATGCATGCATGGTATATGCTGTAAATCGGTAGCCAACGATTTTCTTCCGGATGGCGAGGGGTCCGGATAAAAGAGGACCGGATAAGCGAGGTCTGACTGCTGTGCTACAGCACTGCTGAATGAAATCCAGCCGCGGCACTCAGGTACGCGCCGGGGCGTTGCCCAGCCCTAGACCTGACAACACTGGGCTGCAAAAGAAGGTGCAGATCTGAGTGACATGACTGGATTTCATTCCGCAGCACTGGATGATGGCCATTTGCTGGTGCCTTGACCGGATTGTGCTGGCTCTGCAGGAGCTATATGCCTGAGCTCTATCCGAACATGGTTACATCGCCTGCCGGCACACATGTAGCATATAACACATAGCGTTGGCGCATAGCACGCCATACTTACTTGCACAGGCAACATTATGCAAATCTTCGCGGGACGCATTAGTTTGGGCAAGGAATACCTGTCCCAGCCCGAATGGCTCGGCAAACATCCGGAACCACACAAAGTCACTGATTATCAAATCTCTGGTTGCCTGGACAATCATATCTTTTTCCTCCGTTCTACTTGGTATCGCTAACCCTAGCTGAGAACATAGTGAAGCGGCCCTGGAAAAATTCATTGCCGGATAATTGACTGGATCAAGTATCAGAAGATTGCCTCTGTACTCTCCTGCAGAACGACAGTACACAAACAGTAGAATGTGCACATCGTTGGTAAAGCCATGACATCGTTGGTAAAGCCATGAGTAAACTTGAAGATGGGTGATGCTTGGGTTAAAGAGCACCGCACATTCACTTGGACAAGTATGAGGTGAAGTGTACATCTGATCTGCTCTCGGGATCAACGACGCAGCAGTCCATTCACCTGAGCCAGTCTCGTTGGCTCTTGAAAGCCCAATTTTGACAGAATCGAGGCACAAAAATCCGTGTTTGGAATCCGCTTCTCCACACATTTTGCCATGGAGTACCTTTCCAAATTTTGGTAAAACCAGGCTGATTTTGTAATGCCCTGTGTCCTTTGACTTTTCTGGTATCAAATTTGGTTAGGAATAATTGCACGTTCCACACAATGCAGGATGAACTGTTGTTTTCATGATAGCTATAAGTGCAAAAATTTGTACGAAAAAACCATACTGTAAATCAACAAATTTTGGCCGGTGTGAAACTTTGGCCGATCTCGAAATGAAACTTTTGGCCGTCAAAAATATTTTTACGACCCCCTGGTGGAAACGAGGAATCGCCATCGCGGCGGATCACGCAGCTCGAAAGCCAACTACTTACTTGAACGACGGCGACATGAAGGTCAGCGGAGTGTGATCAAAGAAGCCGAGCCAAGGCCGAGACGAGCTGAACAATGATTCGAGAGAGATGACGACTCGCGTGCAGCAGATGACGACTCGCGTGCAGCAGATGACGACAGCGACGCAGGGTCAAAAATGAGTCAAGTGAAAGCGACGCAAACTGAACTCTCTGCTCATTCCGCCAACAGTTTCTCTTGTAAAGACGCTGTACATAGGCTGAATCACCTTCGTCCAGTGATTTGCAGTCGATACAAACTGTTCTTGACCTGTTCTAAGCGTTTTCATATCCATCAAAATCCATCACGAAGTTTTTGTTAACGGAGGAAGTAGTTTCATGCAAATTTTCGCATTTTGACGCTTTTGGTATTTTGGTTTAAAAAAAAACCGGGTAGACCTGTACTGAGAGGTTCATTGTTATCCACACATCCTCACACAACAGTGGGTTAGAGTGTCTGCTTTAGGTTTTCAAACCAACCGGGTACACGTGTAGATCTACCTGGCATAACTCTTGCAACCGGGTCAGTCCCGGGTACAAGACTCAATCGCGGCTATTGTACATCAGAGAGCATTAGGACGTCCTGATTGAGTCCCAACCGGGTCACAAGTGACCCCCGGTGTTTTTTTCCCATGCGGGCCCAAACCCAACTGGGTCGCCGAAACGGCTGACCCGGCTCTGGAGCAGACGCTGGGTTAAAGGACCGTAGCGATGAAGCTAGTCATGGCAGTCATGGCAGATAAAGGCTAGAGTGAAGCCACCATGCCCAGACAATATGTTTTAAAAGCAGGAAGGTTCAGCAATCACTACAAGGTCCCCTGGTAACGAGAGAGCTTGGAAGCTCAGGGCCCTACGCTATGCTTTTTTGCCTTGCTGACCTAGACAAAAAAAGCATAGGGATGTTATAAATTCTTATAAGTTTCTAATAGCTATGAAAAGTATGAATGCCGCAGACATCACCACGGAACATGACAATTTGTTCAAGGTTTGGTTTTGTGTGTTTCCAACATCGATTTTCACGCTCCGATCATCAGTGGAAATACGGAACGAAAGAGATCAAGGGACAAACAAAGGTTAAAATCCAAAAATTAGGTTATCATCAGTGGAAATACGGAACTAAAAAGATCAAGGGAAAAACAAAGGTTAAAAATCCAAAATCGTCCCGATTGTTTGAGTGTGTATGATGATTCCCACTTCTCTGTACTGTGTCGTGCCCGTTATGTCCAGCAGTTGAAAGTCCTTGAAGCTGTTTGTATTCGTACGCATCAGCCCGATTTGTGTAAGGGAAAAGAACATGTTTTAGCACTAAGGTTATTTTCGTGAGTTTGCACCCCGTGTTCATGAGTTGTTTCTGCACTGTTCATGCCCGTTTGTCACACTTACTCTTTATTTTAGTTCTCACTTTTTGTAATACTTACCACAAGTTACCTGTCATGTGTCACACTTCTTTGGATTTTTAACCTTTGTTTTTCCCTTTATCTCTTTAGTTCCGTATTTCCACTGATGATCGGAGCGTAAAAATCGATTTTGGAAACACACAAAACCAAACCTTGAACAAATTGTCATGTTGCGTGGTGATGTCTGCGGCATTCATACTTTTCATAGCTATTATTAAACTTTTATCTCCACGTAGATTATTAGTGTATCAGTTTCTACTTTATGTGTTTTAGACATAACCAGGGATTCGAACCCGCACTACCCCCCTGCATGCATCCCCCAATACACTTCGCATACATACTAATTCTTCCAAGTTGCTTCACGTTATGATCTTGCATTTGAAAGCCCTATTTGAATATGCATTGTGGCCAGCAGTCTTTGATTGTACGGTACGGTACGGGACGGGTACGGGATAGGTACGGGACAGGTACGGTCGAGGGCAAGAGTTCATAACCCCCAAGATTGTGCAACAGACATAGACCCAGCGCTCGGCGAAATTCCTACATTACGTCATGCGCAACTTGTCATCCGGGGGAAAATTTGGGCTCCTTGAGATTTCTGGAAACTATACTCGGGACCGCTCCTAAGTTAGGCTAACTCAGGGTTGTAGCCTCGACATTTTGAAGACATTTCGGACGTACAAGTCGTACTTTCTCAAAAACAAACTCTTTCTCCAAGAATCCATGGAAATTGCGACAAGAAGAAGTGAGGACGCTGCTATAAAATATTGCATTGCCGTTGAGGACAAACATTCTGATAGCTTTGCAACTCAGCCAAAAAATGATCCTTCGACGTATTCTCAAGTTCCTCAATCATTTGAAATCATCTTCGAGGAAAGCACCGGAAATATGCCGAAGGCCCGGGGATGAAATAGTTCTTGAAGAGACTGACTGCAATGGCGAAAGACGAAGGCGATGAAGAGCCACAGGCTGCACCATGCATTGGCATCGAAAAATAGTTTTGTCTGTGTGCTTTGTTTTACTTCGTGAGGCTCAGACGTAGATCAGAATGGAAGTTTAGGCAGTTTACCCTGAAGAAGCATCCTGGTTTGACTGTACCTTTAAGAAGAATTCATCGACGTGACTCATCGCACTGCACCAAAAATGACGCAATGAAGGAATTCCTCCGAGTGGGCTCCCATACAGGAACTGATCAGGAGTTGCACACTCTTGGGGGTTATGAACTCTTGTCGGGGGTAATACGCCACCGTCTACCGCCTTGATGACGGTGAAAAATAGGGATGTTATAAATTTTTCAATAATTCTCCAATTTTTTCAGGCATTACCTGGGATTCGAACCAGCACTATCGCCCTACATGCATTCCCCCATACACTTCGCATTCATACTCTTTCTTCCAAGTTGCTTCACGTTATGATCTTGCGTTTGAAAGCCCTATTTGAATATTGCGGCCAGCTGTACGTTGCCAGCTGTCTTTGATGGTACGGTACGGGACAGATACGGGATTGCGCCAGGCGTGACACAAACACACAAACAAACAAACAAACACCAAACGCGAGAGCTTGGAAGCTCGGGGCACTACGCTATGCTTTTTTGCCTTGATGACGTAGACAAAAAAAGCATAGGGATGTTATAAATTCTTATAAATTTCTACTTTTTGCTTTTAAACATAACCTGGGATTCGAACCCGCACTATCGCCCTGCATGCATCCCCCGATGCACTTCGCATACATACTAATTCTTCCAAGTTGCTTCACGTTATGATCTTGTATTTGAAAGCCCTATTTGAATATGCATTGTGGCCAGCCATCTTTGATTGTACGGTACGGTACGGGACAGGTACGTGTACGGGACAGATACGGTCGAGGGTAATACGACACCGTCTACCACCTTGATGATGGCAAAAAAAGAACAGGGATGTTATAAATTTTTCAATTCTCCTATTTTTTCAGGCATTACCTGGGATTCGAACCCACACTATCGCTCTACATGCATTCCCACATACACTTCGCATTCATACTCATTCTTCCAAGCTGCTTCACGTTATGATCTTGCGTTTGAAAGCACTATTTGAATATTGCGGCCAGCTGTATGTGGCCAGCTGTGTTTGGTGGTACGGTACGGTACGGGACAGATACGGGATAGCGCCAGGCGTGACACAAACACCCAAACACACAAACACCAAATTAAAGCTGTGTGGACCCTGGCTAGCGCCAGACGTTACTGAAGTAACGTCTTCTGCATAGCTATGGGAATTAAAGCTGTGTGGACCCTGGCTAGCGCCAGACGTTACTGAAGTAAAGTCTTCTGCATAGCTATGGGAACGAGAGAGCTTGGAAGCTCAGGGCCCTACGCTATGCTTTTTTGCCTTGATGACCTAGACAAAAAAAAGCATAGGGATGTTAAAAATTCTTTTAAAAAAATCCTTTTTTTTAAGACATAACCTGGGATTCGAACCCGCACTATCGCGCGCCCTGCATGCATCCCCCGATACACTTCGCATACATACTAATTCTTCCAAGTTGTTTCACATTGTGATCTTGCATTTGAAAGCCCTATTTGAATATGCATTGTGGCCAGCCGTCTTTGATGGCACGGTACGGTAGGGGATAGGTACGGGACAGGTACGATCGAGGGTAATACGACACCGTCTCCCGTACCGTACCGTACCATCAAACACAGCTGGCCACATACAGCTGCCCGCAATATTCAAATAGGGCTTTCAAACGCAAGATAATAACGTGAAGCAACTTGGAAGAATGGGTATGAATGCGAAGTGTATGGGGGGAATGCATGTAGGGCGATAGTGCGGGTTCGAATCCCAGGATATGCCTGAAAAAATAGGAGAATTGAAAAATTTATAACATCCTATGCTTTTTTGCCGTCAGATACGGATAGCGCCAGGCGTGACACAAACAAACAAACACACAAATACCAAATTAAAGCTGTGTGGACCCTGGCTAGCGCCAGACGTTACTGAAGTAACGTCCTCTGCATAGCTACGGGAATTAAAGTACGAATGAAGCCGCTATGCCCGGAAAACTCGGCTTCCTAGCCGTGTCTCACGCAGACCGTGAAATTATTTATTACGCCCGGACTATACATTAATTCAGTAGGTAGGTTTGGGAATCACTACTTCGACAATTTCCCCGGTAAATTACACTCAAACATCTCTTATCCGGACTTCTCACATGTGGGCAAGTCAATGCACCTGCCACCTTCAACCCGAGTTGCTATGACAAAAGTGCATTGTTCTCGAATTTTTCCTCAATGGTGTGCATCCACATGCTCCTTTTTAAAAGTCTTGTCCTTGCCAACCTCTGCAGTTCACACGTTCAGAATCGATGGATTTTTTTAAATCTTGGACAAGTGCAATACATGCCAAATAGCTTCAAAGCTTGTAGTAGTAGCATGATGCGCGGCAGGTGGGATTGTCCTGACGTGCAGGCAAATCTGACATACGGGCAGTGCCCAGTTCCAAGGTGCCCGGATACGAGATGTCCAAGGGTACTACAGTCCATTCATCGGAAACTGTCCCGCTGGCTTTTGAAAGTCGTATTTGGGTCGATTTGAGGATCAAAAGCCCACTTTAAATCTCCAAAAAATTGGGTTTCGGATCTGCTTCTCCATACATTTTGCCAGGGCATACCTGTCCTAATTTTGTAAAACCTGGCTGAATTTCTATTTCCCTGTTCTTGGACTTTTCTGGCCTCAAATGCGGCAAGGAGTAATTGCACAGGTCACACAATGCAGGATGTACTGTTGTTTTACGATATCTACAACTACGTGAGAGAGACACCAAAAAGTTAGGGTGCTAGTTTCCAATGTATGGACTGTAGCTACTTACTGGCGCAAGCTGATTGGAATGGTTGGTAGCCAGGACTACAGCACGCGAAGGAGCCGGGAGTGTTGAAGCATGACGTTGATGCCAGGCTGCAGTTGCTGCTCGTGGGCCCATCGCATTCATCAATATCTGCAGTATAAGCATAGATCAAACCACCACTGGTGTGTTGTTACCTTCTCCCACAGGCCCCCGCCGTACAGCAAAGCAAACTCTTGATTGTGCGTCTCATTCCATATCATTTCTTATTGACAATTAACGACGAGGGCACAGGAGGAGAAAGGAAATGCATAACCCAAACAAAAAGGCGAAGGGAGAAGACACGAAGAAACAACAAAGAACAAGCAGTGATAAAGTGACGCCAAATCGGGATGACCATTCAGCGACCAATGCATAGAGAGTACATGACTAAGACCAAGACAACCAGACCACGGACGAATCACACATGACTCTCACTCCCAGACCAAAACTAGCGCTGCGCATGCAGGACATTCACTTGACAGTCCCCCTCACACAGACGGAAGCAGATTCTCACACTCTGACAGCACGTACTTTTGCATGCACTACATACCATAAGCGTCACACATTACACCATACTCGCATATACACTTAGACCATATAATTACCACATCTGACATCGGACTCTACAAGATAAGAACAAAATACAACGGGCGCAAATAATACTCGAGCGGAATTTCGTACCATACCGTATTTTTCGGAGTATAGTGCGCACCTTTAGTATAACGCGCACCCCCAATCTTCATTGGGGGTGCGCACTTCTATCTTCATTGAAGAACATGCATTTCATATTCGGAGCATAGTGCGCACCTGCAATTTAGGGCCTAAAATAGCACATCCAAAGTGCGCACTATACTCCGGAAAATACGGTACGCAATCAATACGTTCCTGCGAGAGTGTTTCAATGCCCTACACATTTTACCAAGAGTATCAACCCCCACGTACCGTACGTACCGTCAAAGACAGCTAGTTGGCCACAAACAGCCGGCCACAAACAGCTGGCAACAAACAGCTGGCCACAATATTCAAATAGGGCTTTCAAACGCAAGATCATAACGTGAAGCAACTTGGAAGAATGAGTATGAATGCAAAGTGTGCCGGGAAAATCATGTAGGACAATAGTGTGGCCACGGTGCGAATCCCAGGTTATGCCGTGAAAAAATAGGAGAATTGAAAGTTTTATAACATCCCTATGCTTTTTTTTCATCAAGGCGGTAGACGGTGTCGTATTACCCTCGACCGTACCTGTCCCGTACCATACCGTAGGGAGGGCCCAAATATGCTCAACAATTTTGCATATTATGTTTTTCGCATATTGGCCACTTGCTTCAAAATATGCTTCGAAAACACACAAAAGCAGAAAAATATGCTGGAAATATGCGCGAAATATGCTCGAAATATGAACTGATATCAGTGATAATTATGCGAATTCTTTGCTCCTTGTAGCAAAATATGCTACATTTGGTACAATATGCTAGATTTGCTACTTTATGCGACCTTGATTTGCAGACACTCTCTTCTCGGGTCAAATTTTCGCCCCGTGTTTGGATGAGCATTTTTCCTTCCGGGCTAAGGTTGGAAGTGTTCCCTGACCGAGCGTGCCGTGGTAAGTTTCCTTGTCCATTTCCGCAATCAGCCCTATAATTATGCGAATTCTTTGCTCCTTGTAGCAAAATATGCTACATTCGGTACAATATGCTAGATTTGCTACTTTATGCGACCTTGTGTCAAAAGGACCAAAATATGCGAAAATATGCGCAAGCATATTCGAGCCCTCCCTACCGTACCGTACCATCAAAGACGGCTGGCCAAAATATTCAAATAGGGCTTTCAAATGCAAGATCATAACGTGAAGCAACTTGGAAGAATTAGTATGTATGCAAAGTGTATCGGGGAATGCATGCAGGGCCCTAGTTCGGGTTTGAATCCCAGGTTATGTCTTGAAAAAAAAGTAGGAGAAATTTATAAGAAAATGTATAAGAAAATTTATAACATCCCTATGTTTACCGTTAGGCGCTGCATCTGCCGCTAGGGTTTATCGGCCGTCGTGAGTTCCCTTCGGGAACGGATACGATAATTTACTATTTTGTTATGCTTTTTTTGTCAAGGTCAACAAGGCAAAACGCATTGCGGTGGGGGGGGGGGGGCTGAGCTTCCAAGCTCTCTTGTTAACTTATTCAACATCCTATATGGCATTTATCGGAAGGGAGGGGGTGAAAGCCAACCACGGCTGACGAACGTAAAGAAATATAAAGAAATAATCATCTGTGCTCCACAAAGGAAGAAACAGTTCTGTCCGCAGATTGAGTATTTCGCTTCTGCTTTTGTAGCAGTTTTAAAGCACGCTTGTGTGAGGTAGTGCCTTTGCTGTTTGCGTTACGCAGAGCTCAGTGACTTGTAAATACAGGTGCATCGGTCCATTTAAAACACCTCATCGAGTAGTCACAAGAATTAAAGCTGCATGAAGATCCACAGTACTAACCTGTACATTCTTCAATCCCGGCACTGTTCAGCATTGTCCTATTGGCGATATACCCGCGTTGGCAGCATGTATACTTTCCAATCTCATTAATGCACCTTTCATATTCACAGGGCGGTGAGGGCAGAAGACACTCGTTGATATCTGCCACTAAATAACACACATACATGCACGTACACGTACACAAACATACATACACATGCACACACACACACACACACACACACACACACACACACACACACACACACACACACACACACACACACACACACACACACACACACACACACACACACACACACACACACACACACACACACACACACACACACACACACACACACACACACACACACACACACACACACACACACACACACACACACACACACACACACACACACACACACACACACACACACACACACACACACACACACACACACACACACACACACACACACACACACACACACACACACACACACACACACACACACACACACACACACACACACACACACACACACACACACACACACACACACACACACACACACACACACACACACACACACACACACACACACACACACACACACACACACACACACACACACACACACACACACACACACACACACACACACACACACACACACACACACACACACACACACACACACACACACACACACACACACACACACACACACACACACACACACACACACACACACACACACACACACACACACACACACACACACACACACACACACACACACACACACACACACACACACACACACACACACACACACACACACACACACACACACACACACACACACACACACACACACACACACACACACACACACACACACACACACACACACACACACACACACACACACACACACACACACACACACACACACACACACACACACACACACACACACACACACACACACACACACACACACACACACACACACACACACACACACACACACACACACACACACACACACACACACACACACCTTTTGACCTTTGACGCCCATCGCCGGAGGCGATGATAGCAATGCTACGGCAGAAGCCATAGCAACTTGTGCTGGGATTGCACCATTCAACAGCTTGCAAGGCTGAAGAATTGACCGTCACTATTCAGCCTGGTCTACACCATACAGCTATTTGAAGTGATTTTTCTGGCCAGTGAATCCCTATTTTTGGTCTTTTCATTTTTTTTCCCCGCACACACATCACACCACATACTCCGGCATGCACTGGCTGTTGGTAACCACCCAGGAGAATGAAAGAAAAGTCAGGAAGAGTCTGAGAAAGAGAAGAAAGACGTGTGTGACCATAATCGTCGGGACTCGAACCCGCAACCTATCGATTGGAAATCGCTGCACATACCACTGCACCATATGGGACACACACACACACACACACACACACACACACACACACACACACACACACACACACACACACACATACACACACACACACACACACACACATATACACACACACATTTTGCTCCAGCTCTTGTAGCAGTTGAGCACTCTGGTGTGGGGTAGTGCCTTTGTTGTTTGCGTTACGCAGAGCTAACTGACTTGTCAGTTTGAGCACTCTGGCAAGGTACATTCGGGTCTGGTTTAAACTTGGCTTCATTTCTATCAGGTTCGGCCTCATTTTCTCTGTGCTGCGCTGATTCTTCCACAAAGGACGAAACAGTTCTGTCCACAGATTGAGTAAGGTTGATAAATATGGTGGTAAAGACACACCTGGCAATATGGCGGTAAACACACGCCTGCCCACACACGCTCTCTAGACTGCAAAGACTGCAAAGTTCTGGCACAGAGCTCTCCTTCTCACCACCACCACCATCAGTTCGCGCCTGGCGCCTGGTCGATGCATGGCTGGCGGTATCCGGCATAGCAGGCTGGTACATCAAGTAGCGCATGGCACATAGATGATGACACAGCAACGACATAGCTCGATTGCGACGTACGTTTCGTCCCCGCTGGACTCATCAGGCAATCTTCTTCTTGGATTTCTTCATACGGAGCTTGACTCGGGAGAATGAAATTGAAGTCACCACTGCAGCTGTACTTATGGTTGATAAATGGTGAGAAGGAGAGCTCTGTGCCAGAACTTTGCAGCCTAGAGAGCGTGTGTGGGCAGGCGTGTGTTTACCGCCATATTGCCAGGTGTGTCTTTACCACCATATTTATCAACCATAAGTACAGCTGCAGTGGTGTCTTCAATTTCATTCTCGCAGATTGAGTAAGATACGAATATAAATATTCTGGGTTTACATACAGGGCGAGTCGAAAACCACCTTTTCGATTTACATCTTTTAATGCCCGGCATGCACACTCCTTTTGGCCAATTTCAAAGCATGTGTGTAAATCTATAATAATTATTTACCTTCACAGTCGGTGCCATTACTGCGAAATGCTGGTGGGCATGTACACTGGTATGACCGGTGTGTGTTTACACATGTTGCCATGCCAGTGCATTTATGAATATTCAAGCTACATTCATCAACATCTGTTCAAATATACAAAGATTACACAGCAATGAAGCAAACAAAATAATCTCTTTCTGCTGTTACTCGGATTTTCGTGTGAAAACATTCATCAGACAGCATATGCACGTCTGTTACATGCGTACAGAATCCTGCCACTTCGATCCGGGAGAGAGAACTCGACTGTTGAGTGATTTTCAGGGATTTCCCGTTCTCAAGTTCAAACTGAGGTTCTCAGTTTGCAGCTTTCTGCATCGATTTCAATACTCAAAAGTCCCTTGGACAACTGATTTCTCCACCGCGCTGGAATATTTCGCCATCACGAGAGCTCCTTGGAGAACCAATTTTGTTCTTTCTAGGACGAAGCAGACGTGCTTCTTTGTTGCTGTCTTCGAATCTTTTGTTTCCTACGCCGTAGCCCTTTTGCTGTTGCTCAGTAGGTGCCCTTTGCCCACGATTTGTGCTGTTGGCGTAGTTTTCCTGAACCATTGCGTCAGTTTTTCCTTGTGACATTACCCACCATCTTCCCCTTTTGGTGGATGCGAAGCTCCCGCAGCTACGTTCTTCCGCCCGCAGTGGCCTTCTGTACGTACTCTTTTTACTGATGTTCGTATGTTATGGATAAACATTTGGAGAACCTTCAGCGTGTGTTTCGCTTTGATGGCCACCTCAACTAGGCATGGTACGACTTATAGGGTCTCCAATTACCCAGAAGCAGTCAAAGCTGTATTAAAATTGGACATATTGCTTGACAAAAGCAATACTCACCCACCACAAATGTGCAGCAATTGTCATAGAACGATTAGAACGACTAGATCTTATGAAGAAAACAAGCCTTTATATGGCTCAGTGGGCTGTGGACCTCTGCAGGAATGGTCTCTACATTGATGTACTGGCTGTGAGCTATGTACAAGGCTCAGCCAACTATGTCAAGGGGGCAGAAAAAAGAAAGAAAAAATTGGTGGTTTGCGATTGCTAAACGCCTCCTCTTCTGAACCCTGCAGTACCAGCTGCTCTTCTGCCAAAACAGAGGCATTGTCTGAGCCTTGTCTGAGCCTTGTCTACTTGGGTAGGATGCATGAAGCAAGTACAGCTACAGCATCTTCGTGCTCATGTTACAGAATGTCCCTACAACCCACAGACACACGCCATCCACACCACTACCTCCTACTATTACAGCCAGTACTGCCTTTACCGATTAGCTTACGGCATCACCATCCAAGCTGCGTGGTAAAGTGTGTGACACAGGGCTGGCGCACCTTGTTCGAGGTGAAGCCAACAAGGACAGTTTAGAGGTCAGGACAGGTGGGAGGCCCCAGGCTTGGACTTTGGACACCCATTTCCATTGTGGACAGTACAGATGCCAGTCCCAGTACGCTGAAGAGAAGAGCATCATAATTATCTCAAAAACAGCAAGAAACTGTGTGTGTGGCAGTGTTGCTGGGGCGACAACACACCTCGCTTCCACTTTGAAGAAAATTGAGCGAAAGGGATAGTGATGCCCTTCTGGTTGAGGCTGGTCTTCGACCTAGCAGTACATCTCCTGGCACTGCCGACACTGGCCATTAAAGCAGACCTTCCCTGGCACAGGAAACTGCAGAAGTGGTTATTTTCTTTTGGTGTACGCATGGAGTTTGAATGCACAGTTTGCAAGTCCCTTCAAGACTTGCCAAAGTTCAAAACAGAACTAATTCCTTTTGCTGCACGAGGTGGCAGTGTTTGTTCTGCACCGATGGTGTACATTGAAGATCTTGTGTCCTTCATTAGGCGCACATTCCACACCATGCCCGGGAAGTAGGTGCATTGTATTTCAAATTTCCGCGCCGGATCCAGATTTTTGGTGTTGCAGCGGAGGCTGTGCCAGCACAGCACAACTATTTTTTTAGCGAAAATGAGACCATCGGAGTTGATGGCAGCAAATGCCATGGGCCAAACTCAGTGGTCTCACTCCTCCATTTCCATCTTCGGCAGCATGCCAAGGGCGCACACGACATCGGTCTGCACGCCGACAATTGCTGCGGACAAAACAAAAACAAAACAGTCGTTGGGTACCTCTGCTGGCGAGTCATTGTGGGGCTCAACGAATCCATCGATCTGTGCTTCATGCGCGTTGGGCACACTCGATGCTTTGTCGATGGCGGCTTTGGGCTGCTGAAGCAGACTTACAGGAAGTCCGACGTCGATACACTTCAGCAGCTAGCTGATGCAACAGATAAATCAGCAGCCTTCAACAAGGCCGTTTTGTTTTCATAGGATTGGAGACAGTGGGATGCATACCTTTCCACTGTTTTCAAGCCCGTGAAAAACATCACGAAATACCAGAATTTCCACTTCTCAGCTGACAAGCCTGGGATGGTGGAGATGTCTGGATCATCGACGGAGGCTGACAAGACCTTGTCGATTATCAAGCCGGATGCTGACATCAGCACATTGAAGACGGAAGTCCTTCCACCTGCCCTGCAACCAGCCGGGATGTCACACGCTCGTGCCGACTACCTTTTCAAGCAGGTTCGTCAGCACTGTCAGGAGGAGAACAGAGACATCACCTGCCCCGCTCCTACTGCCGTTGCTGCTGTCGCAGCTACCCTACCAACAGAGTGAAAGCTGGAAAAGAAGTGCTTATACACTCTATTGTAGTCCTGTACTGTTTTCTGTTATTGTAACAAATTGGAAACAAACAGTAGTACCAACCATACTGAGTTTTCAAATCAATGTTAAGATGTGCAAATCCAAAATCTGACTCCTACTCATAAAATGCATTGCTACATGGTGAATATTGCTCTGAAATCCGTGAAACGTTGTCAAACTACTCTACACAGGTCAGAAATCATTTTACAATGAAAAAGTCATTTTCACCAAAATAGCGGAAGGTCGATTTTCTCAGATATTGGGCCATTTGTATTTGTTTTTGCATTTATGGATTCTCCACAGGCCTTAGCATAAATCGAGGGAGTCTCCGTTAACAGCTTATGAACAAGAAGCTGAGGAGAAAATAGAAATACACAGTGCTCTATGGCATCGTTACTCTACGTGGAATGAAACCATCAATGAATGCTACCTTTGTCAGACACTTACCAACGCAAACTGGCCAGAGGTGTTGATCGTCGCAGTACTGGATTGCAGGTACACCCGGCTCCAAGGCCAATCCTGGATGGCAGGTCAATCTCTTCAAAACATTGGTTATGTCAGTGACGGTGCCTAGAAAACTGCTGCTTTTCGGGCATGCTTGAGCTGAAGGAGAAGAAACAAAGAGAGTACTCAACGATGTATGAAGGCAGCAAAGGGAGCAAATGAGTGGAGAGCGACGAGGAGAGCGGTCGTGAGAGTGCCGGTGAGAGTGTTGGTGCTGTGCATAGGTTTCGTAGTAGGAAGTCTTCAGTGTAAAATCATCTGCTAGCTAGTCCTGATTGTTGCAATTCGTATTCCGACTTCTTTTACTGTGTTGTGACGTGGTCGTCATGGTAATGGCCAACAGTTAAAAGTTTTGGAAATCATTAATCAGTGTTTGTACAAGCCTAATTTGTGTGTGCGGAAAAAATAGTAGAATTAGGTGGAAATGGTTCAAGTAATGTGTCGTGTTTTGGTGTGGCCAAGCTTGGCCGTTTTGTACAATTCAGTGTCATATATAATTATGGTCTTCTGTGCGTATGGGTGTGGTGCAGTGTGTGCCAGATATTGGGAGTGGTGTCAAGGGCGTGATGTTTGACGGATATGAACTTGCTGAACTACACACTCTCATGTACTCTCTCTTTCTCAATCTTACCCCTCCCCTCCTGCTCCCCCTGTTCTTTCTCTTTCCCTCACACTTCCATTAAATTTTATCTGGTGCGTCCAGAGCGTGACGATGTCGAGACTAGTTGGTCGACAGCGCACCTGGCCCCCACCACCCTGGCTGCTGAATGTTCCCATTGTGTGCACCACATGGCTTTTAGTAAAAAAATAAATGGTATGTGTAGTGCATGCAGGAGTATGTGTTGTTGAGTGTGGGAATCTGCTTCCATCCGCCTGAGAGCATTTGTCTACTGGTTGTTGGGGCATGCGTAGACTATGTGGAGTATGCGCTGTGACAGTAAGGTCCAGGAGTGAGAGAGTGGTGTGATTCGTCCACGTTGTTGCTGTCTTGGTTCTTGTCACGTGTGTCGTACGTACTGGTGGCTCAATGAGTCAGAGCGTCGTGTTGTTGCGGGGAATGGGGGAGCAGGCGGTTTCACATGTATCGTTTTCTCATATGTATGAGTTGATAAGGGGTTTCCTTATATCGACTCAACCTTATCAACTGGCCAATCGACTTATCAACTCAGTCATGTCACCTCTAGTTCTCACTATGACAGACTGAATTTGTCATTTGATCTTCGTCCTCCGCTGGAGTAATACTTTTCATCCATTAGTCTATCTCTTCTGTCTGTCAGGGCTTACTCTCACCCAGCGCTGGGGGGCGGGGGGGGGGGGGGGGGGGAACACCCCTGGCAAATACATACTTCATTCTCTACTTGATGATTGTTCTCCCAACTCAAAACTAGATGTAAACACAGGTGCCTTTAGTTCATTCAAATAATCCATGCGGGAGTAACTCGTCTGTCTGGAAGTATTGTTTCTCCCAAGAATTAAAACTGCATGAAGATCCACATTACTAACCTGTACATTCTTCAATCCCGGCACTGTTCAGCATTGTCCTATTGGCGATATACCCGGGTTGGCAGCATGTATAGTTTCCAATCTCATTAATGCACCTTTCATATTCACAGGGCGTCGAGGGCAGAAGACACTCGTTGATATCTGCCACAAAATAACACATATACATGCAGGTACACGTACGCACTCATACATACACATGCACACATGTGCATACGACCACACACACAAACACACACACACACACACACACACGCACATACAAACACACACATTTCGCTCCAGCTCTTGTAGCAGTTGAGCACTCTGGTGTGGGGTAGTGCCTTCGTTGTTTGCGTTACGCAGAGCTAACTGACTTGTCAGTTTGAGCACTCTGGCAAGGTACATTCGGGCCTGGTTTAAAGGCTTCATTTCTATCAGGTTCGGCCTAATTTTCTCTGTGCTGCGCTGATTCGTCCACAAAGGACGAAACAGTTCTGTCCGCAGATTGAGTAAGATACAAATATAAATATTCTGGGTTTACATACAGGGCGTGTCGAGAACCACCTTTTCGATTTACATTATAATGCCCGGTATGCACACTCCTTTTGGCCAATTTCAAAGCATGTGTGTAAATCTATAATAATAATTTACCTTCACAGTCGGTGCCATTACTGCGAAATGCTGGTGAGCATGTACACTGGTATGACCGGTGTGTGTTTACACATGTTGCCATGCCAGTGCATTTATGAATGTTCAAGCTACATTCATCAACATCTGTTCAAATAAACAAAGATTACACAGCAATGAAGCAAACAAATCTCTTTCCGCTGTTACTCGGAGTTTCGTGTGAAAACATTCATCAGACAGCATATGCACGGCTGTTACATGCATGCAGAATCCTGCCACTTCGATCCGGGAGCGAGACCTCGAGTGTTGAGTGATTTTCGGGGATTTCCCGTTCTCAAGTTCAAACTGTGGTTCTCAGTTTGCAGCTTTCTGCATCGATTTCAATGCTCAAAAGTCCCTTGGACAGCTGATTTCTCCACCGCGCTGGAATATTTTGCCATCACGAGAGCTCTTTGGAGAACCAAGTTTTTTTCTTTCTAGGACGAAGCAGACGTGCTTCTTTGTTGCTGTCTTCGAATCTTTCGTTTCCTACGCCGTAGCCCTTTTGCTGTTGCTGAGTAGGTGCCCTTTGCCCACGATTTGTGCTGTTGGCGTAGTTTTCCTGGCGCGGGCGTCAGTTTTTCCTTGTGACATTACCCACCATCTTCCCCTTTTGGCGGATGCGAAGCTCCCGCAGCTACGTTTTTCCGCCCGCAGTGGCCTTCTGTACATACTCTTTTTACTAGTGTTGAAACGATCTCACCGGATACTCGTTAGCTCGCTCGTCAGAAACTCGGCTCGTTTGTGCGGCCAGCTCGTTTGCACTAATGAACACCGTACTCCGTACACATGGCAGTACATGTCGACCGGGGAGTCGTAACATATTTTACGACTCCCTGGTCGATCGAGAGTCCAGTCCCACGCAAAGTGAAATCACTCGCAGTTACAGTGACTGTATGCCTGCACGACACTTGAGTTGTTTCAGTTGTCGTTACAGCTTTGGTGGACTTTACTGATGCCTTGTTCCGCGTCTGCTGACCTGTCGCAGGATATGCTTCAGTCACCTCTGCATTCGAGTGAAAGTTACGCTCAGCCGTTTGGAAGTTTTCTCCCGCGATGCAGCGAAGATCAGGGCTACTTGCAATCTTTGCAAAAGGTCTATTCTTACAAAGGCTACTCGATGACGGCGCTGAAAAGACATCTCGACACCAAACAGCAGTCCGAAGTGAAGCAGCAGCAACCCCAAATGCCGGCGGTGATAATTTGAACCAGCTGAAAAAATCGAACTTAGAAACAAATTTGTTCCAAAAAATCATATTTGACATCAATGAAACTCGTTAGCTCGCTCGATAGGTTGCTCGTTAGTGGAACTGATCGCTCGTTTGTTATAGATACGCTCGTTTCAACACTACTTTTTACTGATGTTTGTATGTTATGGATAAACATTCGGAGAACCTTCAGCGTGTCTGTCACTTTGGTGGCCACCTCAACTAGTCATGGCACGACTTATAGGGTCTCCAATTACCCAGAAGCAGCAAAGCTGTATTAAAATTGGACATATTGCTTGACAAAAGCAATACTCACGCACCACAAATGTGCAGTAATTGGCATAGAACGATTATCAGATCTTATGAAGAAAACAAGCCTTTATCTGGCTCAGTGGGTTGTGGACCTCTGCAAGAATGGTCTCCACATTGATGTTCTGGCTGTGAGCTATGTACAAGGCTCAGCCAACTATGTCAAGGGGGCAGAAAAAAGAAAGAAAAATTGGTGGTTTGCGATTGCTAAACGCCTCCTCTTCTGAACCCTGCCGTACCAGCTGCTCTTCTGCCAAAGCAGATGCATTGTCTGAGCCTTGTGCACAAACAACACATACATGTGCCAAGCAAACACTTCACGAAACATTGCACACTATTTCTGCAATAGCTACACCTAGATATAGGCAGATGCTGAGCCAGCACCGGAACGCTTTGCACAACCGTATGCCGAAGTGAAGTGTGCAATTTGTCTCCACATTGCCAAGCAAGCAGTGGAGTCACCATGTTGCAGCCATTTGTATTGCAAACCATGTATTTCCTTCCGGCTAGCTATGCACAACAACTGCCCTCTCTGCAAGAAGGAACTTCATGCACAGCAGTTACTTTCTCCGCACCGTATTGTGGCTGGTATACTTGGTCAGATGGTGTTGCGGTGCGACTTTCATGAGTCTACCTGGGTAGGATGCATGAAACAAGTACAGCTACAGCATTTTCGTGCTCATGTTGCAGAATGTCCCTACAACCCACAGACACACCATCCACACCACTACCTCCTACTATTACAGCCAGTTCTACCTTTACCGATTTGCTTACGGCATCACCATCCAAGCTACGTGGTAATGTGTGTGAGACAGGGCTGGCGCACCTTGTTCGAGGTGAAGCCAACAAGGACAGTTTAGAGGTCAGGACAGGTGGGAGGCCCCAGGTTTGGACTAGGACACCTATTCCCATGGTGGACAGTACAGATGCCAGTCCCAGTACGCTGAAGAGAAGAGCATCATATCTCATATCTCATATCTCAAAAAACAGCCAGAAACTGTGTGTGGCAGTGTTGCTGGGGCGACAACACAACTCGCTTCCACTTTGAAGAAAATTGAGCGAAAGGGATAGTGATGCCCTTCTAGTTGAGGCTGGTCTTCGACCTAGCAGTGCATCTCCTGGCACTGCCGGCACTGGCCATTAAAGCAGACCTGCACCTTCCCTGGCACAGGAAACTGCAGAAGTGGTTGGTTTCTTTTGGTGTGTGCATAGAGTCTGAACGCACAGTTTGCAAATCTCTTCAAGACTTGCCAAAGTTCAAAACAGAACTAATTCCCTTTGCTGCACGAGGTGGCAGTGTTTGTCTTGCACCAATGGTGTACATTGAAGATCTTGTGTCCTGCATTACACGTCTCCTTGAACTGCACAAGTCTGCGGAGACACTGACCTGGCATGATGGCATGCCAAGTGATGAAATTGGGGTGAAATTGGGAGGGGGGGGGGGGTGGGTGTGTGACCATGGTGGTGGTAGTTTCAAATTCTGCTGCCAAATCTTGAATGTACCCGACCCCAATGCCCCTCAAAACACAGTTCCAGTATGCTTCTTTACTGCCAAGGATCTTGCAGCCAATCTTGAAAATGCACTTGGCCGCTACAGACCACAGGTCGAGACTTTGCTGAACACAGCATGGGAAGGGAGATGTATCTGTCTGGGGATGACGAGTTCCTTACGACAATTTATGGCCTTTCGGGCTTCAGTGGGGTGCGTCCTTGCTTGTTTTGCCACTGCGACTTGAAAAGAAGGCCATGCAAGTGGAGAGAGAGCAACGCACTCCCGTCAGCAATCACAGCCTCGAGACACTCTCGAGAGATTTCACTACATTCACATCTTCTGGCGCTGTCTTACACAATGCAAAGTATCACAACAATGTTATCAGGTATTGTATTTTGCCCATTGCTTGGGAGCAAGTATCTATTCCAGTTTTGCATCTGGATCTTGGCATATTTCCATACCTTTACTATGCCTTTTGTACTGAGCTCTAGACTTAGACCTAGTTAAGTGTCCAGGCCAAGAAATGGCCGAAACAGACCAAAGTACGTTCCGGTCACTAGTCGTGGCTAGGAATCTAATAGAAGAAAAAAACCCACTCTCGCTAAAGCTCAACAAGAGCACAAAGCCATTTAACTGCAGCTGTAGTATGTTATACTGTATGCTCAGCAACAGGGCCTGCCTGTACAGTCAGTACAGCTATTGGCGGTTGCATTGCGGGTGCAGTGGAAGGAAAAGAAAACGGGTCTAGAGGAGTCAGAAAAAGACCTGCAAACATTTTCAACAGAGTTTGAAAAACTAGTTGAAAAGAATGGAAAAGGCTGCTGGTCCCTGCTTTTCTTCTCTTGAGCAGGTGTTGCAACAATACACTATCTGTTCTGTAGAGGCGTGCTCCTGCCTCGGCACACACCCAAACCACACAAAGGACCAGCTCGCGACTATCAAGAGAACTCTGTTAGAAAACTCTGGCTCCAAGCCGCAATTGCTTGAAGCCTTTCACCGAACTCGTAAGCACTACAGCCTACTATAGCAAACTGATTACTGCAGTGAAAACGTCTAGCTTATAACATTTGCATGCCAAGAACTCCATCAGCAGGCGCGAAAGAAGGTGAAGACAAAGCCTGTGACATAAAAGTGTGAACCCTAACGAAAGTCACAGCTACATGTAACACAAAACGAGAGTGCATGTCAGTGACACGTGCGACCTCCTGAACATTCTCCCCTTCCCGATATGTTGAAAAGTAACATCGAAAAGCATATCGCAACTCAACAAACAAATATCCAAAGCGACAAAAGCATTATTCAAAAAAGCTGTTGAAGAAATCCAGCAAATGAACAATGTGAACACATTCAAGAAACAGTGAATCAAACTTTCCTTGAAATCAGTTTCACAAACGCCTCCCGCGGGTTGTTGTCACCTAGCCAATGTGACACCAGGGGCTTTAGCACAAGCCAAGCGGACATAGTCGTGTGATAGGGTGTGTCTTCTCCTTGCCGCCCACAAGCACCTTAGCCACTCGTACATGTCCATCTGGCTCAGGAAAGACTGCCGTGATTCTTCCCAATGGCCAGTGCCCTCGTGGCGTGTCGAGATGAAGAACTAGTACCATATTTCCAACAGCCAAGTCCCGATTGATCTTGATCCACTTGCGACAAGCATAAAAGCGTCGGAACCCATTCCTGTAGCCAGCGCTTCCACACTTGGCATATTACGTCCTGCACTAACCGCCATCTCTTCTCTGGGCTGAACTCTGTCGTGTCGACGCTCGCAGGTGCAGGCTGCTCGTTAGCGTGTCCTGTCAGAAAGTGTAACGGGGTAAGCGGGGTGTTGTCGTCCGCACTGGCGCTCTGGTATGTCAGAGGCCGAGAATTGAGGAGCGCCTCAAGTCCGACAATGGCCGTCGTCAGCTGCTCATCAGTTAAGACGCCTGGAGAGTTGCCGAGAATAGCAGTCAATGCCTTCTTGGCTGCTTTAATCATGACCTCGTGGACTCTTCCATGGTGTGGGGCCAATGGCGGATTGAAATGCCACATCACTCCTCGGTTTGCCAGAGACCGCTGGATGGCATCTTGGTCGAGCTGTTGCACAAGGGCTAGCAATT